ATTTCTATATACCCATCCATTTCTAGGCTTCCATAGTCTATGTTGACAAATCAAATATTCTTTACAAATGTGACACACTGGTTATTTATACAGCATTGTAAACCATCGTAAAAAAGGATGTTTTCTCTAAAGTACAGTGTTCATTTCAATTATCAACCTTGATTTTGAGTATGTGTGAAATGAACATGAGGCAGTAAATCCTGGTAGCAGGTGCTGCCACCTATCACAAACACTATGGGCTAATGTTATTGACTTTATGCTAATCATTTCAACAATGAACACATGGCCTGGAATAAACACCATTTATATATCATTGTAAATTTCGGCCAACAAAACACATGTATTTCAACTTGTTAAAAAATGTCTTTTTTCACACCAACTTAATAAGATACATTGTACATGTATATATACAAATAGTTATATTTTTTTCATGCAAATAAATTTGATTAGACATTATTCCTATATATGCAGTTGTAATATTAGATAAACATAAAATATTAAAACATTTAGCGTGAGTGATGAAAAGAGCTAGAATGTTCTCTTATGTAAGCATCCCTCTAGTGGTGGAAATGATTATTAGGTAGTACCTTGCACTTATTAGTTTCACTATACAATGTGTCAAAGTAACTAAGCAACAAGGTTATAAGGAGAGAAAAAATAGAATATTAAAAAAAAACAACACTTAGATAGCAGTTATATGGAATAAGTAAAATATCATACATTTTGAAACCTTGAGTCAGTTTACTCAAGTAGAAAGAAAAATTATGGTATTATGAAAGCAAAGATCCAGGCACTCTACAATGGTCACACTTCAAACATCTCAGAGTTTTAGCAGTTATTTATCTGAGAAATGTTATCTTTTTAAATTATAAAAAAAAAATGCATTCATTTTAAATAACAGCAAGTTAGGGATACCTTAAACAATTTGCATGAGAATAGCGATGCGGCTCACTGAATTTCACCAAGCAAACTTCACTGTAAATGTGTGAAAAAAAGCAACATCATTCATCATGGCAGTGAACAACCCTGGCATTGTGTCGGTATTGTTTCAGACAAGCGGACACCATAATGTGGTATCTCGTGCAAACCTACAAATGCACAATTGTATAGCAGCCTTTTGCGTTAATTAGTTAAGAACAAGAAAACACAGATAAGCATGATTAAAATATAATTTTTTATAGAGATCAACTCGAGCACTTTGAGTAACCTTTGAGGGCTATTTTCATTTTTTTTTGATGAAATTTAACTGCAACATTTTATGAATTTTTATGTAATTTTTCATCATTTCTTTGTTAATTTTCAATTAGATAGATACAATTTCTCAATGGCTGCAAATCTAGGACAAATTTTTAGAAAAAAATTTGGGAAACCTTGTGAAGATTACTTTGTGAAAGGTGAATAACAAAGCATCAAAGAATTAACACTGATTGGAATATACACACCATGTCAATTTCTTCATCATATTCATGTTATTAGTTAGGCCCATTTTTTCATTTTTAGTGAAATACACTGGAATATGAATAAATAAAATGTTGATATTAATTCAAATTCAGTATCTTTTGAAAACTTGTTTTGAAATTGTTGTTGTGCTGAAGTATCATATTTGTAAGTATACTATTCCTTTATACATATATATAATATATCATCCAAAGATTCATCTGTTTTATTTTCATATGTACTTATTTGCTAAATGTAATTTACAAGGCAATGGTCATAGTTTTATTTAATATAAGGGTTTTGTTAGAGCGCCCTCTAACAGCAAGGCACAATACCAGTAAAAATGTTTATTTAAAGATGTAAATTTGCATAATGACTAAATCAACAATCCTTCAGGCTTCACCAAAAAAAATAGTACCAAACAGTTCACTACATCTTTGTATATAATGATAATTCTGAAAATATTGCCAAAACCAAACATATAATTACATATAAACAAAGTAATTGTTTCATCACACTATTGGTGGCGCTATAACCCATTTTTGCAAATCCCTGTAGTTGACTAAAGTGCGTTGGTATTGGTGGCAGGCAGACATTACCGAATACAGGAACCAATCCCCATGCCTGACAAAATTGGACATCCCAGGTACATGCAGGAACCAATCCCCATGCCTGACAAAATTCGACATCCCAGGTACATGCAGGGACCAATCCCCACACCTGAAACAATCCAACATTCCAGGTACATGCAGGGACCAATCCCCACACCTGAAACAATCCAACATTCCAGATACATGCAGGGACCAATTCCCACACCTGAAACAATCCAATATCCCAGATACATACAGGGACCAATCCCCACACTTGAAACAATCCAACATCCCAGATACATGCAGGGACCAATCCCCACACCTGAAACAATCCAACATCCCAGATACATGCAGGGACCAATTCCCACACTTGAAACAATCCAACATCCCAGATACATACAGGGACCAATCCCCACACCTGAAACAATCCAACATTCCAGATACATGCAGGGACCAATTCCCACACCTGAAACAATCCAACATTCCAGATACATGCAGGGACCAATCCCCACACCTGAAACAATCCAACATCCCAGATACATGCAGGGACCAATTCCCACACCTGAAACAATCCAACATCCCAGATACATGCAGGGACCAATTCCCACACTTGAAACAATCCAACATCCCAGATACATGCAGGGACCAATTCCCACACCTGAAACAATCCAACATCCCAGATACATGCAGGGACCAATTCCCACACCTGAAACAATCCAACATCCCAGATACATGCAGGGACCAATTCCCACACTTGAAACAATCCAACATCCCAGGTACAGGGTACAGGGACCATATGGTACATATTTATGTGATTCTTATAGAGCAAAAATGAAATACAATATATAATATCTATGCACTTCTAATAAAATTATTACAGCACAATGTGATTTTAATAAAGCAAATATGGTACATACATGTACATGTCTCTACATGCTTCTAATAGGGCAAGAGTGTCATACTTGTTTGATTTAACGCCCAGGGTACTCAGCTCCAAAACTCACGTGTTTTAGAGGGGTTGGGAACTTATCAGAGCATCCCGCTCTGAAAAGTGCGCAAAAAATCATTTTACCGTTTTTTTTTTATTTCTATATTAATTATGTACCAACAAAATTAACAAGGTAAAAACATATTAGGGTCTGTTTGAACACAGTCAATGTCGTCATTATCTCCATTTACGAATGCGTTCAATCATACGCAAACTCTTGATGAAAAGCATTACCCACCATGATGTTTTCTTGCACGATTTGACCTCCAACCTGACAGGTAAAGTCTGATATTAACAAATCCGATTGTGTGTTGTGTCAATGGAATTCTCCAATGTGGAAGTGAATTAGCAATATCAAAGAATGGTCTGTTGGAATTAATTTCAGCAAAAACAAATGATTTTCTTAAAAAAAATGGTAATTAGCAATTTTTAAAAGGTAAACTGAATATGGAATGAGGTATTTATGGCCTTTCATTTGTATTAAGAAGTCATTGTCATAGTTTAGTTAAAGTGCTACTATGCACTTTTAATAAATGGTACATAGCTATGTTCTTCTAATAGAGCAACTATGGTACATATCTATATTGTATGTACTTTTAATAGAGCAACTATGGTGCATATCTTTGTACTTCTAGCAACTATGGTGGTACATATCTATGTGCTTCTAATAGAGCAACTATAGTACATATCTATGTGTTTTTAATAGAGCAACTATGGTACATATCTATTGTTTTTAATAGAGCAACTATGGTACCTACCTATGTGCTTTTATTGAGCAACTATGGTACCTATCTATGTGCTTCTAATAGAGCAACTATGGTACCTATCTATGTATTTTTAATAAAACAACTATGGTACCTATCTATGTGTTTTTAATAGAGCAACTATGGTGCATATCTTTGTACTTCTAGTAACTATGGTACATATATATGTGCTTCTAAGAGAGCAACTATGGTACATATCTATGTGCTTTTAATAGAGCAACTATGGTACATATCTGTGTTTTCAATAAAGCAACTTTTGTACATATCTATGTGCTTCTAATAGAGCAAGTATGGTACATATCTATGTGCTTTTAATAGAGCAACTATGGTACATATCTATGTGTTTTAAATAAAGCAACTTTTGTACATATCTATGTGCTTCTAATAGAGCAATTATGGTACATATCTATGTGCTTCTAATAGAGCAACTATGGTACATATCTATGTACTTTTAATAGAGCAACTATGGTACATATATATGTACTTTTAATAGAGCAACTATGGTAGTTATCTATGTGCTTTTAATAGAGAAACTATTGTTCATATCTATGAGCTTTTAATAGAGCAACTATGGTACATATCTATTTGCTTCTAATAGAACAACTATGGTACATATCTATGTGCTTTTAAAAGAGCAACTATGGTACATATCTATGTACTTTTAATAGAGCAACTATGGTACATATATATGTACTTTTAATAGAGCAACTATGGTAGTTATCTTTATGTGCTT